CAAAGTATGATCCAAAGGTATGTCTGACTCCCCTCCTTTGCCAGATTTTTCAATACCTTTTGCGAAGGGACCTCGAACTGGCCACCGCGTGTGACTTGCTGTGTTGACGACATTGTGTATGACCCTTTTCCCATTTTTCCGGTGCAGAATGAGGCCGTCACCAAGGGCGCTGCCCGACTCATGGCCGAAGCGTCGGCAAAGATCAATCAGCGGTACTGAGAACCACGCACTTGAGCATGCCACCGACATGCAGAAAGAAGGGCGGCGTCGCCACCGAGCCCCAGGCTGACCGCGCAAACCTCCCCCCCCACTTCTATGCATGCTCAAACGTGTAGACAATCGGTCGACTTTCAAACCTCGGAGATGGTCCGCTTGGCCTTTGAGGGCGACACGCTCGACAAGCGCCGTACAGCCGTCAAGAATTGCGTGGTTTTGGCGCGAGAAAATGCTGGCGCACGCAAACTCTTCCACTGCGATGCACCTCAACGCTTCATGGCCCTACTCAATGAGGAGGATGACGATATTCGGGTCCACACCCTGCACGTCTATTCAGAGTTGGCCGAGCGCAGCCCCGCCATGGCCCTACAAATTTGGCAGCTCATGAACCAGGACAATCAATTGGGCCAGCATGTAGCTTCGGTGCGATCGAGTCACGCATTTCCAAACACAATGCGCCCAGCTGAGTCTGACACGCGCACGTCTGATGAGTACTTACTTCCATGCCGCTCATACCACCCTGCTGCCTTCACAGAAGCACAGCAAAACAAACCGCGCTGCCGTGCGCGTGGTCGGATGCACCCTCAATGCGCTGGCAGAAATGGGCGAGGCCTCGGAACAGCACTCAACGGTGCTGGATACCGTCGTGGCCTATCTGACCCAGCTCATCAAGGATCGTCGGTTCGTTGTCCTTGCTTAACAAGACCTTTTTTTTGTTGTCCCCAGCCACCCTACCTCTTGCTCAAGAGGATTCATGGGCTTTGATTCACCATTCAATCACTCCTCTGATACCGAACCTCTGCTGTCTTGCAATGGCTTGATGCAGGAATCAAGCGGACGTGCGCAACCTGGCCATCAATATGGTCATGAAGCATGCCAAAACCGGTGATCTAGGGCGCCGGTATGATACGGCGGCGTGTGCAGCGATGCTTTAACCTGATCCATGCTCCCACTGCAAGCACTAACGCATGCAATGGCACACTGCCACTTACGTTTTAGTCTTTTGACCGCCGGTGCTGTGCGTGCGTTGCTGGTGACAGCCGCCCTTGCACCAAGCCCGCTTCTGGCGCAGCCCACCGGGGATAGCGAAGACGAGCAACTCGGTGCGTGCGTTGATGCAAGCCGCGAGCACAAGTCTGCTGGCGCTCTCCCTTATTTCTTTGTTATTTCATTCTTTCTGTTTAACATTGCCTTTGCAGGCTCAGAGGCCGAAACCCGAGGTCAAGTTTCTGTCGCCTTGCAGCGTATCTTTGAGGCCACCAAGGTGAAGGGGCAACCGGATGAGCAGTTTGTCGCCGACTGCATAGCTCAGGCGCGGTGAGAACATTTGTGACCATCCTTTGCACTTGTGTTCCACAATGTTCGATAACTGGGTGCCTATCCTCTCATGCCGCTGGCCTTCAGTTTTGGCGACGATCCTGTCAGCAACATACCTCCCACCAATGCCATGATCGCCGTGATGCTTGCCGTCATTGATATTGGCAATCAGGTGTGTCGCGATGGCTTCTGGATGGAGTTGGGACTATGATCGCCGAGCGGCAATCGCCGAGCCAAGCTAACGGGCTCACCATCTGGCAGATTCTGGAATCGGGCAACACCTTTGAGTGCCTCATGAAGATGGCAGACAGTGACAATCTGCAGGCCCAGGTGAGCATCGACCTCAAGCACCGTATATCTTTCTCTTTCTCGCCCAGCCATTGTCGTATCTTTTTTGGCTCACTTCCTGTTACTGCTCTTTAATATAAATCTTCCTGGCGGGGGGCTTGCTAGTGCGCTGCTGCCGAGGCGCTAGCCTTTGCGGCTTCGGATAAAAAGCGGGCACGAGGTGTTATGATGGAAGGTTCCGATATTCTCAAAAAGCTCTATGCTAAGGATCTTCCCAGCAGCATCCGAGTGCGCGCGCTGTGTGGCCTGTGCAAGATGGGGGCTGTTGGTGCTGGTGCTCCCAATCAGCGCACCATGGACGGCTCCTCCTTGATCAATCTCGCCAAAAAACTTCGCCCGTGCGTCTGCGCTTCATCTCAATTCCTGACTGTTACCTCGGAGCTGGAAAGCCATTCGAGCTTTTATTTGTCCCATGGGCAGCTTTCTCTGCCGCAATGAGCGAGCAAAGGGTCTGAGCATTGCTTGGCGACCTCACTTAAAACCTGCCGCTCTAGGTTCCTGGTCAATGATACGAAAGACAATGACACACGACGCTGGGCTGCCGAGGGTTTGGCCTATCTGAGTTTGGACGCCGATGTTAAGGAGTTTGCGATTGCAGATGAGAACATTCTAAAAGCCATTTATCGCGTTTGCATGGGCTCAGGTGAGAAGTGACCATGCTATCCTTTTTTCCCGCCTAGCATTGTCCTTTGAGTCCCTCTTTGTCGTGCGAGCTCAATGCAACTGCCCGTGCCTGTGCACAGACCCCACGGTTCAGTATGCTTTGGCTAACATGCTGGTCAATATGACCAACAGCTTTGATAAGCCAGAAAAATCGGAAGAGCATGAGGAACTCAAGAAACTCGGTGCGTAGCGCCATCGCCGAGACCGTGAAGCGTTGCAGAGCCGTTACCCTCTTTTATGTGTGCGGTACTACACTCTTAGGCAAGTACGTCGGAGAACAAATCCCAGAGCCCCATGCCAAGGACTCTGATGCCTTTGTGCAGAAGCGAGGTTAGTGTGTACGGCAACCCATCTGCGCTGGTGCTGTGCTCAAGGTTTCGTGGCATGCTCACACTACGAGTTTTGACTTGGGTATGAAATTGCGTAGTGGAAGTGCTGCTGAAGCATGACTTTGTCTATGCGCTCACGGTCTTGGCACAGAGCCAAAGCGAGGGTGTGCGAGAGCAAGTGGCCCGTGTGCTGCTGGCCATGGTCGAGAATCCCAGCCATCGGGGCATGGTCATTTCACAGGTCGGGATCATCCTCGCCTGCACCTGTGGGAGGCTGCATCGTCTAGCCCCCGCTGGATGTGGATTGTTTGACTTGAACCTCACGCTTGGGTTGATCGATGATAGGGTGGTGCCAAAGCACTTTTACCCTTGGCACGAGAAAACACGCGGCGTGGTGCGTTGTTGCACGTTCATGAACTTGTCACTTCCGCGCCCGTGAAAATGTCGCTTTACATTAACCCCATCTTGTACCTTTGCTTAGGCAAAGAAAAGGCAGCACAAGCGTTGGCAAAGATTACGATCACCACTGATCCCAGGTTAGCGAAGTATGGCTCGCCAAGGGTCTGCATCCCCTCTGGCGCGGTGTTTAAATAACTCCCTCCGTGGCTTGCTCTGTGGGTGTCGTGCGCTGCGCTGACCTCGTGTCACCGACTCACACTGGATTTGCTACAGCGTGGCCTTTCCTGGACAACGGGCGTTGGAAGTGGTCAAGCCCTGTATTGCTTTGCTCTCGTCAGTTTGGCACCTGTTTCGGCCCGTTCCCCGATCGGGCTTGCTGCCCTGCACGTGGCAGGGGAGGTGTTTGTTCCTGGACCTCGACTCATACGACGCGGTTCTCTCCCTGGCTTTGGGGCCTCGTCACAGGCACATGCACCAGTTGCTCCAGTTTGAGGCGGCCATGGCGCTGACAAACTTGGCGAGTATGAGCGACGAGCTGCGACTCAAAATCAAGCGTGAGAAGGGCCTTCCTCGTCTCGAGGATCTCATGTTTGAGGACGATTTGCGCCTGCGGCGGGCTGGTTGCGAGGCGCTCGTCAATCTGCTCTACAACGATGAAATTTACAACATGGTGGGTGTTCTCCTCGGCTGTGACTGCTGTGCCTGCAGGCGTGGGCGCCGCACAGTCAGTGAGCCTTGCTTCATGCTCATCTTCATCTCGCTTCGCGTATTCGCGGCTGGCTGGATCGACGCGGTTTGCAGTTTGCCACCAAGGATGGTCCTCATTTTGAACGCGTCAAGCTCTGGATCCTTCTTTCCGGCGTGATGCAAGAAGACTTTGATGAAGGTCCGCACGGGTGGAGTCATCATTCTGTGTACTCTGCTTGACTGTTTTCTGTGCATGTGACGTAGGCTTGGCTCGAGCCGCCTCGGGTGGGCTGGCGCTGCTGTCCAGCAGTCCCGATGTGGCCCACCGCATTCGTGAAGAACCACAAGGCCTGCAGGTTCTCAAGGAGCTGCTTGTGAGCGGAATGCCAGAATTGCATCACCGCGCGCTTTATATCATCAACAACATGATTGATGCCGATGAGGTAGGGCTGCGCGCTGCTGTTGGCTGGCGGGACGAGTACCTTTTTTTGTATTATCGTTTGGTTCATGCATTGCTGCCCGGCACCACGGCTCTGCAGGCGGAATGTTTTGTTGAGAAGGAGATGTTGTTGATCATTGTCGCCGTCACATTGACCAGCCAGCAAGCGCAGGTCACGGAACTTGGCCAGAGTGTACGTTACATGTGGTGCTCGGTTGGCGACGGGTGTGTCAGCTCGCAGCTGTCCCTGCCAGCTCATGTTCTTTGATGCACACGTTTGGCACTGCTGTGTGCTTTGTTAGGCCCTCAAGAAGCTGATTGATCGCAAACTGGTGGAATCGATGGAGGCCGTTCAGCGTATGGCGGCCGAATCCATTCAGGATTTGCAGCACGTTGCAGACCGCTTGAAGGTTCGTGCGCGCATGGTTGGGTGGTCTGGCCGGCGCATTTTTTTTCTTTCTTTTTTTTTTTTTTTTTTTTTTTTTTTGTTTGTTTGTTTGCTTGTTTGTTTGTTTGTTTTTGCTCAGCTGCATGTTGTGTGCGTCAGGAGGAGGCGCGGGCTCGCGACGGCGTGGTGGAGGAGGAGGATGAAGACGAGGAAGCTGGTGAGGCCGGAGGGCTGTCTGAAGACGAAGGCGAGGCGGATGCGGATGGGCCCACCGAGGTCATCGTGGCCGATGCGCCGGATGACGATGCCGTTGCCCTTCCTGCATGCGATGAGGATGACGGCCCTAAGATTGAAGTTTTGGATTAGACTGACTACTTTGTGTTGCCTGTTTGTCTGCAATTGAATCAAACGTGGAACGTGCATTTGCTTGATCACACCATTTCTGTCGGCAGATGATACTGAAGATGCAACAACTTGCAAGACTGCCCCCCAGGCGTGCTGGAGCCTGACACGTGTACGATGTCTCAAGGACGCTATGGGGCATGGAACAACGCGGGGGTGTTTTGAGTCTCACCCCACAGGGCCGCGTTGCAACATGCACAGTCATGACTCGAGTCAAGATACGGTGATGGTTCTAAGTCGGCATGCAATCATCACTCTACGTTCGCGGATCCAAGCATCCGACCTCAATGGTTACACAAAGTGGTCGGGAGGAGCAAATCTGGAAGGCAAGCTCGCGCAGAGAGAGAGAGAGAGAGAAAGAAGAGAAGAATCATGTAACGGAGGCAAAGTGCAAAAATTACCATAAAATTCGCGATAAATTCATGGAATTTCAAATTAAATTTTTATTATGAACACACGCACTCTGTCTGAAACGAGCCAAGACTTGGAAGAAGTAGTCGCTGCGATCAGCGCAAGATCAGAGTAGGCGACACCACTGAGCTTGACGGGTCTCCAAATGGTCCAACCGCGCTGCCTGTGCTCGCACCTCCTCCTCCAATCGTGCAAGGCGGGCAAGAAAGGTCGACGGCGCCACGGCCGCGGTCTGACCCGTGCTCGCACCCGATGTCGTATCACCGCCAAGCGGGCTTGATTCACCCGGCCCCACGGAGACGGGCCCCGGTTCATCAACTGCCGAAATAGTCACCAGAGTGTCCGATTGCTCCGAGGTGGCTGTGATGGCACGCCCTTGCTGACCAAGGCGTCGGATAATGGACTGCAAACCTTGGTCCACAAGTTCCGGGCTGGACAAATCCTCATAGAGCAGTGTCCCTCGCATGATTCCAAGAACCCCGGTGATGCGCTCACACCCCGGCTCAACAAACACAGGGATATATGATTTTTGCTGTTGGAAGACATACTGAGCCTCCAACATGCAATGACGGCTTTGGGCATAGGCTTTGCTGTACAACATGAGCACCACAGCGGCATTCTCGACGGCCGACGCCATTTCTGACATGATATTACCCTAATGGCCGATGTTTGCCAAAGATAAACAGCCAAAAGCGCAGCTCAAGATGAGCGGGGGGTATCAAGGGGAGAAGGGTGCAAACCGAGGCCCGCGAGGCAAGCGAGACAAGGATCAACGGGCACAATGCGAACGCACCTCCATTTTGTGCACATCGATCCAGACGCGAAAACGGTGAGCTTGCAGCGTCTGAGCCAGCTTGAGGGCGAGGGGCTGATGCCGCCAATTGTAGGAAATCATGATGTGTGTAGGTTGAGAGGAAGCGGGGGTAGCACCACCACTGTCGTTGGCACCGGCAGCACGCACCCCCGCTGAACCGGCAGCAAGTAGGAGGCGCAGGCCCGTGGCCAAATCAGCTGCAATGGCACCGTCGGTGCTCGGCTGGATAGCGCTGACGGTCGCTAGCACCCGCGAGTCTTGGCGAAGGTGAGCTAGGTCGCCGGGACGCTGGGCCAGGGTCGTGAGAATGCCAAGGTAGGCAGGTAGATGATAGCTGAGAGCATCGCCGCCCAGACGGTGAATATTGTTGTCCTTGTGGCCCAAGACACGTGTGACCACGTCTAGCAAATTCTGGACAGGTATCACGCTGTGACTGTCCGTGGTCAGCAGGGCGTCGAGCAGCTTGGCACAGTTGGTGGCTAGCTTGCGCGTGATCTTATCGTACCCCTCATCTAGCTCGGAGGATGGACCCACGTCATGCCAAAGAGCCAAGCGCTGACATTCTTGGGTCACGGTGGGATAGCACTCGAGAAGGCGCTTGGCTGCGGCATTGTTGTCTCGTACCAGGCGTGCCAGGCACAGGATCGCCAAGACAGTTTCCGGGATGGCCTTGTCCCAGTTGAGGGTCGTAGCGATCAGGGGCAGCAAGGTATCCTGCATCGTTGCCAGGATGGTCAGGGCAAAGGGTTGCTTTACCAGGCAGGCCAGCGTCCGCCACTCAAGCTCCCCGTTACATGCAGGTGTCGATGTTGATGCAGGCGGCAGAGTCGCTGATGGGCTAGCCCCATCATGCTCATCCGACAGCTTGGTGACCTGCAAAAAACGATTGGCAAAGGCCTGAATGCGCGGAGTAAATGCAGCAACGTCTTCTGCATCCAAGAGGACCTCGATGTGGTCAGTGTTGATCTTTCCTGCTGCCGGGATGCCTGGCGAGCTTTCGGCGGGACGTGGGTGCACACAGGGGCGGGCGCGCCAGTATTGTTCATGCAGTTCACCATCTTCCACGAGCTCGTACAGGTCGCCCTTGGTATAAGAGCACTTGTCGACATTTGTGCTTTGAAAAGTGTCGGTTACCACCATGCGCGTGCCCGTGGCAAAGGCTAATCGAGGGGATCCGCCAGCTTCATGCTGCGGGGCTGCTGGGCTGGTAGCCATCCTTGTTTTCCACCGGATCTGACCTTTCGTCGCCTCTCCCCGGGTTCTCCAAGGTCCTACGCAAAGGTTCTACGCAATACAACTCAGCAGCCAGAGGCCACCGGGTCTGAACAAGCTATTTCACCCCCCTGCCCCGCCACCACACACTGGCACGGCACGGATGTTTCCTTCAGAAAAAAAAAAAAAAAAAAATCAGAAAAAAAGACGCGCTGGTCAATGAGCAAGCTTTTTCTGACATCCCGGCACATTAGCATGATCTACATAAAGTCACAAAGTGACTGCATCAACTTTCACAGGTTTATAAGGCAAATGCACAAAGACGATGCAGAAACTCAACATTTTTGTACATTTACATTTGAGTCGGGGCAAGAGGTAAAGAACGTTGTTCCTCCAAAAGCGACTGAACACACACACACACACACGCGGGCGCGGATGATCGTGAAATGGCAGCCGGATGTATGAGCGAGAGGAAAGGAGAGGAAAGGAGAGGAAAGGGGAGGGGTGGAGGCGGGGCATTGGTTGGCTTGGTCGTTTAGGTGGCGATGCGGATGTCATTGAGTGAGGGTCGGGCGTGTACATATGAGCTCATGATGCGTGCTGCTCGTAGGCGTGCTCCTTCCAGACCATGATGATGATGATGATGGCGGGTGGTTCGCGTGTGGCGGTGATCTTGGCGGTGGTGGTGGTTGCTACGGCATGGGCGAGCAATCCCGTGATTGGCATTCTCTCCCAGAGTGATCCGCCCTACATTGCCGCCTCCTATGTCAAGTACCTGGAAAGCGCCGGTGCTCGTGTGGTGCCCGTCCTGCACAACGACACGGCTGATCGTCACGCCCAGCTCTTCAGCCAACTCAACGGATTTTTGATTCCCGGCGGTGGCGCCAACCTTGCCAGTGCGTACGCGCGCTGCGCAAAAGTCGTTGGAGAAGGCTTTTCTTAAGCTCGTCTTGGATCAATTTGGATCTCCACACCTGACGTTTATTTTCTGTTTGCTTCAGACTTTAGCGATGACTTTATGGTCTCCGCTCGGTACTTTGTTAACCAGGCCATTCAGGCCAACACTGGCGGTGATTTCTTCCCTGTCTGGGTACGTGGCTTTCCTGCACGGTCAGGAGTCGTACACGAGTGCTCGCTGGTTTCCTTGGAAGACGAGAAGCGGGGACGAGGGGTGGGAGCGCTAGGGCCGACTCACAATTCGCGCTCACGAGCAACTTGCCCTTGTTGATTTGATCTGAACTTTTCAGGGAACCTGCTTGGGATTTGAAACCCTTTCCGTGATCATTGCCGATGACCCCGCTGTGTTGGTCGATGGCTACGACAGTGAGGATTTGCCTCTCGCCCTCAACATGACCCGCAACGCTGGCACCAGTCGTCTCTTTGGCCAGCTTCCCGGCAGTGTCTATGACTCGCTTCAAACCGGTGCGATCGCAGTTGCCCCGTGCGCTATGTGCGAGTGGCCCCTGAACACGTGTCTTCCAAAAGCCCTGCTTTAAGAATGACCAGGGGGCCTCTGGTCGAGCCTCACCCGCTTTCTCATTCAAAAAACCACAACAAAAAAACATTGGGTTGATGGCATGCTGCAGAGAATGTGACAATGAACTTTCATCAGTCTGGCGTGGAGCCCAGCACCTTTGTTAGCAACGACAAGCTCAACAGCTTTTTCAACATTCTTTCGACGAACGTCGATCTCCAGGGCAAGCCCTTTGTTTCTTCGATGGAAGGTGCGGCCTGGAATACTGCGTGAGGCCAGCCGAGTTCCACCACTTGTGACGACGCCAAGCCGTCGTGCCTGTCGTTCTTGGAACCGTTGACCGTGAAGCTTTTTTTGGCATGCTCACGTGAGCTCATGTGGCGTGGTCATTATCGATGATTGGTGTGATCAGGCAAGACCATGCCTGTGTATGGCGTTCAATGGCACCCGGAAAAGAACACCTACGAGTGGGGCTCCACCCAGGTGTGCCCATGCTGACTCATCCAAGAGGGCTTGTCCGGGTTGTACCAATCCAAGCGATCCAACTGGGACCGCTCGTGAATTGGGTTCTAATTTCTTTTGACCTGACGTTTATTAGGCTAACCCACACTCAGCGGCCGCCGTCGATGTTGCTTATCACATGGCGCGCTTTTTCGTGAACGAGGCCCGCAAAAACAACCACGTGTATCCGGCTGATGCCCTCGATAAGGTGTGTCACGTGCAACCGGGAATGGGCCGCAGAATGTTATGTAGTCAGGCATGGTAGTCGGGCACTTTCGCCGAGCGTTTCCTCTCAGTAGCATGTGGTGCCCAGGATGTCATCTGGAACTACAAGCCCGAGTACACGGGCCCCTCGGGTAGCCACTTTGAGCAGACTTACTACTTTTGAGTGCGTCACTGACTTGATGCCACAGCCCCTTGCTGGGTTGACAATGCGGCCCGCCGCTTCCTCGATCAATCGTCAACGACAACCAGTAAAGCCAACATGCTGCGCCAAAGTCAATCTAACCGCGATACAGTCAACCTCAAAGACCAAAGCGCGCTTTCATCCATTATTGCCCTTCCCCATGTTTATGAAGCGTTATCCATCGCCGAAGACTGTCAAGCACAGAGAAGAAAGCGATAGGAAGCGAGAGTGCGAGGGCGAGGGCGAGGGCGAGAGTTTGAGAGTTTGAGAGAGAGAGTTTGAGAGACAGAAAAGTCAGAAAACGAGAAAAAAACTCGTTTCGAGCTGTTTTTTGCTGTCTTCTCGTCAACGTCACATTGTGCATCCATCAGGATCAAATGGCAGTGGCTTTGGAGGGCAGCGAATGAAGGGCCGAGCTTGGAACAAACTCTGGACGTCGCGGATTGCATGGCTGACGCACGTGGCTGATGCACTGGAGCCGGTTGATGCGGCGTCTTCCAGACAAGACGTATTGTGCCTGTTGATAATGGCTCAGCGCTCGCTCGGGCTCTTCTTGCTCGCGCCATGTCCCAGCCGCCTTTGAGCAAGCGTATGGTGAGAGTCAATGAGCCCGACTGACATGCTTGTGCTCAACTTTGCGCGCTTCCTTTCTTCCCTCTCACGTCGTGCTGCTTTTTGGTTTCTTGCCTCCGAACGCAACTTTGACGTGGTAGCGTGTGTTGACCGATACCTGGAACCTTGTCCCTCAGTCAGCTCAAAAATATCATCTGCAGTGCACCATGAACAGCGGAACGCCGCCAGCCGCCGAGGCTGAGGGCCAGGCTGTTTGGAATTGGCCCACTGCCACCGCCCAACCTGTGCGTCGATGCACTTGATTCCACCTGGTCGTTGTGCCCACACACCCGCTCACTTCTTTCTGTGGGTGTCTCCCCGATATCAGGCGCAAAACTTGGGCGCAGGTGAATTCGACTGGTCCGGTCGCGCACACCCCTTTGGAGTTGACGTGTGTGCCTTTTGTCATGAGGGTCAGCCGCCAACCCGCCTGGTCAAGCTTCGTTGCGGTCATGGGTGCGTCATAATTGGGGTTTGCAACTTGGGCTCGCCCGGCTCCCCCCAATCCCCCCTTCTGGTCCGCCAGAATCGACCATTCCACGCGAATTTCGTAGTGGGCTGATGGTAACTGACGCGCTCCATGTTTGACTTGACCGACTCCTTGCAGCCTCTGCGTCGACTGCTCTTTTGGAGCCGTAGCAACCTTTTACTCTGGCGCACACAAGCAGCTTTGGACTACTCAGTGTGCCTACTGCGGCATGCCCACGCTTTTTCAAAGCCCACCCTTTGGCAGTCCCGAGGGCACCCTCAGCCGACCTGCCTCACCTGTGACTGGTGCATCGGCATCTCCGGTTTGTTTGAGCTCCATGATTTACGCGGGCGTCAGACAGTGGAGCTGAAACGCCTCACCTATTGTCGTGTCTCGTTCCCATGCCTTGTCTCGTCTTGACCAGCACCCAGCGTTGCGGACCATCATGACCGAATTGCGCAACATCGACCGTAACTACTCGAGCAAAATCAGTGCAGTCACCCAAGGCGGTACCCTCATCAACTGGACAGTTTCCTTTCGAGGGGATGAGTCGCCCGAACCGCTGGTCCTCCAAATTTCTTTCCCCCATGCCTATCCCAGCGTGGCGCCACATATCCGTATCGTCCGTCCAACGTCGCTGGCAGCTCACTCTGATCTGGTGACACCGGACGGCACCATCTGGTACGTCTGCTGTTTTCCATGCGAACAGGTTTGCGGTCGCCTGAAAAGCCTAATGTCCTGACGGCCCCTTCTTTGGCTGCAAACCTGTATGCGCTTGGGAACGCGTCCCATCAACGTCATATAGCTTAGCCTCGATGTTAGGCCCCGAGGGCGGTTGGCACAGCGGCACTTCACTTCCAGCCGTGTTGATTGGCATTCAAGCCCAGCTACAGCACGCCCAACTCGAAGGTATGCACGTCACTGGCTGAGCATCCCACATTGGCATCAATGCGTGTCAAAGCCTTGCCGCACAACGAGCAAATGTGGCGGTGTTTTGTTGTCCCCTCTTGTGCTGAGTCCCACTCATTCACCTCGATCTTCCCATGCCATGTGCGCATCGTTTCCACATTTCACAGAGTGGGAGCGGGGAGCGGGAGCTCCATCTGCCAAGCGTGCTCATCGCACATAGGATGCTGCTGAGCAGCTGAGCCCTTCCAATGCGTCCGCCAATTATTGCCCATCGTTTTCCCTTGAAACGAAAGGTCGCAGCTCAAAGACGAGGAGCTCGAACATAAGAAGCTCCAAGACAAATGCAGTACAAGATGAAATTCGCTCCCTGACTGGCTACTTCGTCTAGCAGTTGCCTGAACCTGTTTGTTCACATCCAATTTCGCGAATCGAATGTCTCTAGCCAACAAGTTGTTGCTGTCAAGCAGTCAATACCGGTGTTTGAGGTTTTACAAGAGCACATGAGTTTGCTGGGCATCAGGCGGCGTCATGCACTGCCATCAGGCTTGCTGCGCTTGGCTGGCATGCCAGCTTGCTGCTGCGAAGCCAAGCAGGGTACGGGGAGTGAGGCAGGCACATTGTCAACGTAATGGCACAATGTCTTCACATACATGGTGCACCTGTACGTGGCCTCGCTTGGCGCGCTCCTGTCGCTTGCGGTCTGCCACATCCTCCAACTCTCTGAGCTCGATTCCATCACGGATAGAGCCCACGACGTCTATTAGCACACAAAGCATAATGGGTGATGCCGCTCAACCTCATCACAGAGCAAGGAGCTTGCCGGAGCCAAGGGGTGGGTGCAAACCAAACACGAGCTTACTGATGGCTGTGTGAAAGGCATTTGGGTGTGTCTTGTCCTTGCGCTCCAACAAGATGTTCTATCACATGTGCCATATGATTCACACCATGAGGCATGTTGCACGATCGAGGCTCTACAAATCAGGGCCACATGCATGTTCGTACCCAGCGGTTGAGGTCAGAGAGCCAGTTGCATTCGACAATCTTGCCATCGTATGCCCAAAGCTGCTGTCGCTCTTGCGGCACAAAGGTATTCAGCTCCGGACTGCCCATGCCTGTAAACTTGACCTCAGGCCGCTCAGAACCGCGGCCCCTGACATCTTGCACATAGAGCGTGCCGACGGTGCGGTCTCCGATATCTTCCACCTGGCAAAGGTCCAAGCACGTGAATAACAGGCACAAGAATGAGGAAATGTTGGTTGGGGAATGTGTGCGCTGGCTTGTCCACAGTAGATTTGGCAAAAGGCAAATGGTGGTCTCATGACCTTGAGGCGAAAATCGATCGTGTTCAGGTGTGCCGGCTTCCATTTAAGCAAGGCCTTGCACGAGCCGGCCTTGTACTCATGTGCCACACGCACGAGCAGCAAGCCATCGTCCTCTACTCGGATTGGCAAGCAGAATGGGAGCAGTGAGCAAGCGCAGTTGGCTACGCAAAGCCCCATCGTTATCCAAAACACTTCCATTCACACGTACTGTGTTGGACTTGAGAGCGCATTTTGCGCCATTGATCAGATTGAAAGTCAGCCAGTGGCAAAAAGGGTTTGAGGCGAACACTGAACGGCTCTTGGGCATATTTTTCCTTGTAGCCGGGCCACGTCTGTGCAGCAACGCAAGCAGGCAATGAAGCAGGCAATTGCCTAACACACAATGCTTTGGCGCGACTCATGCGGCTACGTGACGCACGCTTTGCTTGAGACGTGGGTTGAGGATGTGAGTTTGCACGGCTTCCAGGCGCTCATTATAAGGCTTGTGCCGAAAAGATTCGCCGTTGCAGGCGATCATGTCAAAGATGTAAAATCTGGCCCTGTACTGCTTTTTCTTAGTTGCGGGATCCTTCCAGCAATCGTACACCATCTCCTGTGTGCGAGGGAAGCGATGAAACGTGTGCCAAGCAGAGGCATGGTCATCAACAGAGGGTGAACGCAAGGCAAGGGTCGTGCACCTAAAGTAAGGCGACGCACGGTTCAGGAAGGTAGGGTGGGGGAAGGGAATACTCACGCCATCCAACAGTGTATTTTGGTGCACCGATTTGAGATCCTGGTTAGGGAACCGGACTTTGCCTGCAACACAAACTACCAGCCCCAGTGCAAGCGCAGCATATCAGGAGCTATTTTTCCTTTCACATGGTTGTTTGTGAGCCTTGAGCCGCCAAAACATGCCAAAGCCTGTTTGAACCACGTACAGTAGTTGTTGTCACGGCCTACGAAATAGACCTTTTGGTCTGCAAGTAGCATGAGATATCGGGTGCCGTCTGATTTCCAGCTGATCATGTAGTCTGCTCTTGACAGGTCCAACAGGCTGTCTCTGTTGAGGGAAACAGGTTGAGAGCCGGGGAAAGCGGTGCCTTCTTGGGCCCCCACCTGACAGCAGGACAAGATGGTTGGTCAGCCAGCCACGCGCGCGCGCGTGGTCCCCTCGTGCCTGTTTCCCCGTTTTTTTCCCCAGCATGGCTGTACATTGCCAGCGAGGCTCAACTTACCAAGGTGCGCACTTTGCGACGCAGGGGTCCCAAGTGTGGTGCAGAAACCACGGTGGTAGCCACTGCACTCAGACTAAATCTGCCGAATACATGTAAAGCGACAAAAGGTTATCAAGTGACTTGGGGGAGGGGCAATTTGGGAGGGCGGGTGTGGACGCGAGAGGCGGGTTTGTATGCGTACTGGCAGGGGGATGGAAGCGCTTGCTCGGACTCATCGTTGGAGGCCGTATGGTCCGGTGGTTCGGCGGCCGAGGGGGATTCTGCAGCTGGCGCATCGGCCAACACTTGCTTGAGGGCCTCGACCACGGTTTGTGGATCGGAAATTTTGACAAAGCTGTCGGCGAAATTCAGCTTCTCCAGGGCCTGTGAAGCCAAGCAGGTTGCAGAAAAAGTACAGTCATGCGCAAGCGGTCAAGAAAGCATGGAAGTTCAGAAGACAAAACCTGAAACCAAGACAAAGGGTCAGCGAGCTTGCGGCGGCGGCAATGGAGGCTGACCGGCTCGAGGGGGAGGGGCTCTTCGGAAATTTTGTTTTCTTCAAGGGCACGCAAACAGCCCTCGTTGACGGCTTGAACAACTTCGGGGGTGATGTCAGCTGCGTTTTTGAGATGTAGAGCATCGATGGCATCCTGCAAGGCTGCCCGCGCCGCTGCGCAAATGTGTTGGCGGTATGTGCCCACAGCCGCGGGGGTTGCGTAGCATACATTATCCACGGTGAGAGAGCGATTGAGGGGCTTTGGGTTGAGAGCAAAGGGTCACGTGTTGAATGGGGACGTACGGCCGTTGGGCGCACACCAAGCAGGTCTGGTGCGGGGAATCAGCTCAGGAGCGTCGCCGTGATAGCGTTGGAGCAAATCTTCGACATAATCGGGTCTACGAAGTTGTGGATCAAAGGGCAGCGTAAAGTTTGCGTGGCACGTCATGAGGAAGAGCGAAGGTCGGAGTTGAAAAAAAGAAAAAAAAAAAAAAAAGGTCGCTTTACCGTACTTGTAGATGCCGGGATCTCGGCTTTTGGCAAAGAGTTGGAGCGCATCTTCCACGGCACAATCCATCTCTTCAATGAGGTAGCAGCAGATCATAAAGCCAGTACGGTTAAAGCCGTGGGTGCAATGCACGCCAATCTACGAGTGGCGGGCAGAAGTCAGAGTTGAATGCAGGTGGGCGGGTGATGAAAATAAAGTGGGACACTGTGGAATGGCAGGGGGAAGGGATGGAGTCGTGCATTGCAAACCGTGTCCTCACCGTGCAACCTGGCTGCTTTTGCCAAAAGGTCTTGCATACGTGAATAAAGACCTTGACCTGCTCTGGGGTTGGTCGCTCGCCGTGACTACAGTTTGGGTTGCCAGTGCATGAGTCAGCCAAGCACGCACGGGACCGCATGAAAGCAGGTGCGGTCTCGATTTTCAAAGCTTGAGCGGCATGGCGTCTGTACGGGACGTACCCAGCACATTGGATCTGCTGCGTATGGACATCGTTGCCAAACTCCTCGGCTTCGTAATAGCGGGTGGTTTTTGTGAGGTTGATGACAAAGCGCAGCTCGTCTAGAGGTGGCACCAAAGGGGATGGGAGGAAGAGCGTGCCGCATGAGAGAGAGGTTGAGAGCAGTTCCGGCAAGTTGATGTGCGATGCAGATGATTGGGATACCTTTGTAGCGTGCCTTGGCCATTTCTGGGGTCCAAGCGCGCTCGATCGGGACGTCGTCCATGTAGCGCCGTCCCAGCGGTGTTTTGAAAGGCCAGAAGTGGCCCTCTGCTCGTGTCCGTGCGAAAGCAGTGCACAAGGCGATGAGTGGCCATTGATCACCCCGAATGGACAAGGGTGTGCGTGTGTGTGGAGATGAGCAGATCCACACGGAGGAAGCAACCCGGGAGTGACGGGTGGGGTGGAAGTAAAAGGGGAGCGAGAGGGAGGGAGGGAGCGAGAGAGAGAGAGAGGAGGGGCAAGGTGGCGGGGACGGAGTCAGGGGGAATGTCCAGCGAGCGAGCCACGACTCACCGCCAGCATCAATGAGCTTTCCAAACCGCGGGCACGGCAGCCAGCGCTCGGGCACGGCCCGAGGGTTATACTGCGCAGCCATGGTCCCACAGATCACACAAACCTCTGGACCCACCCACTGCCACTACACCGTCACCGACCCCCCAACCAATACCGCCACAACAGCCAGCCCCACTCCCGCTGCTGCCAAAAAATGCATTTGATGATGATTTATATCAGTCAAGCCAGTAAGCCGCACAGAGAGAGAGAGAGAGAGAGAGAGAGAGAGAGAGAGAGAGAGAGAGAGAGAGAGAGAGAGAGAGAGAGAGAGAGAGAGAGAGAGAGAGAGAGAGAGAGAGAGAGAGAGAGAGAGAGAGAGAGAGAGAGAGAGAGAGAGAGAGAGAGAGAGAGAGAGAGAGAGAGAGAGAGAGAGAGAGAGAGTTTGAGAGAGAGAGAGAGAGAGAGAGTTTGAGAGAGAGAGAGAGAGAGAGATCGAGAGAGAGTTTGAGAGAGAGAGAGAGAGAGAGAGA